TGACTTATGGCAACCCTTTTCAGGGTTTTTCAAGTACTCGGAAGCGGTTTCCCCTTCCCTTCCGGAGGTGGCCCTGGGATTGTGTGCAGCTCACCCAAGGCCACCCAGGCTGGCTTTTCTCCCAGAGAGGCACAGTAGGGGAAATCAAACTCCCAACCTCTGGCTCTGCAGCCAGAGACCTAAACCATCTGAAAATACAGCCTTAGGGGATACCTACAGACCCATGGACACACTCTGCCTTCCTGGTCCCTGAAGTTAAGCATTAAATGTTTAAATGTCCACCCAATCAAAATAAAAGCAAAAACAAAATGCAATATGCCCGGTTGCTTGCTTCCAAGCAGAACAGCCACGATGGAAGGAAAAAGAGAGCGCTCTCTCTTTCTCTAAGTGGAAGGCCGGGTTCTCCTGTGCCCTGAAGTGCTTCTGATCTCCAAAGAATCCAAGCCGATTTGGGGGCCTATGTGAGAGGTTCAAGAGGTGGTCTACCCCTTCAGGGAGTTTTCACAGCCAAGCCAGGATTTGAATCCAGTCCTCCCAACCGGGAGAGAGCGCTCATCTGACCGCACCACAACCGCTCTCAAATCGAGGATGAGCTTCCACCGGAGTCCACGTGCCGAAAGGGTGCACTTTCTTGTGGGTCACAAGAAAAACAAGTTATGATTTCAGTAGGTCTACTCTGCCTGGGGTTAAGGTGCACTGCTTCGTTGCCTGCAATCTTACACATACCCCCAATGGCTCGAATCACAGGAGGACTCTACGAAAGGGATGCCCGGGGTCACCCAGTCCCGTCCCACCCCCAACCAAACACCCCCCTAAGGCACCTCTGACACGCAGGTATGCCTTAATCTGCATTTTAAAATCAGAAACAAGAGACTCCACTGCATTCCAGGGCTGTTTGTTCCACCGTCTAACCCAAGAACGTCAGCCTGTCACAGTACACACACTCAAGCATGAGTGTTCATGCACCTTTGCCATTTCAGGCCACTTACTCCCAAGAAAGAATACCAACAGTCTTGGCAGAGGGAGGCAAGCATACACGAGATTCGAACCCAGAGCTGAGAAGGATGGGGCAGGGTAGATTTTCTCCACTTAACCCCCAGATCCTTTGCTTACTCTCTCTCCCAGTGGCTTCTGCTTTGTGTCTCTCCAGCCACAGTTGCTCCTCTCTTGGGTCGGGAAACGGACTTTTTTAGAACTCGGCCAAAAGGCAGCCCATAAACTGGGTGAATCTGGGCTGTTGGTACCCGAGCCCATTGGAAGGGCTTTGCACAGACCTGGGGGTTGTGTCTAGGTCTATAGGGCCGTTCTGTACAGCGTGATGATTGCCCCTTTAAGGGCCACGGCCAGCCTTGTCATCAAGAATCCTGGGATGTGTAGTTTTGCAAGGGTCTTAGAATTCTCTGCACTGCAGGGTTCCTGGGCAAGAAATTCTAAGAAACCCCCATCGAACTACGAATCCCAGGTTTCCTTGGGATGGAACCATGGCAACCAAGGCGCTCCCAGACCCTTCTCAGTGTGTTGAGCAAATATGCATATGGAGGGGCCTGCAAGTTGTAAGCCGTGCTCAGAATGCACAAACACACACACACAGCTGTTCTTTGAGCAACCGGCTGGAGATTTTATTTATTTATTTATTTATTTATTTATTGGCAGAGGGAGGCAAGCATACACGAGATTCGAACCCAGAGCTGAGAAGGATGGGGCAGGGTGGATTTTCTCCACTTAACCCCCAGATCCTTTGCTTACTCTCTCTCCCAGTGGCTTCTGCTTTGTGTCTCTCCAGCCACAGTTGCTCCTCTCTTGGGTCGGGAAACGGACTTTTTTAGAACTCGGCCAAAAGGCAGCCCATAAACTGGGTGAATCTGGGCTGTTGGTACCCGAGCCCATTGGAAGGGCTTTGCACAGACCTGGGGGTTGTGTCTAGGTCTATAGGGCCGTTCTGTACAGCGTGATGATTGCCCCTTTAAGGGCCACAGCCATGTCATCAAGAATCCTGGGATGTGTAGTTTTGCAAGGGTCTTAGAATTCTCTGCACTGCAGGGTTCCTGGGCAAGAAATTCTAAGAAACCCCCATCGAACTACGAATCCCAGGTTTCCTTGGGATGGAACCATGGCAACCAAGGCGCTCCCAGACCCTTCTCAGTGTGCTGAGCAAATATGCATATGGAGGGGGCCTGCAAGTTGTAAGCCATGCTCAGAATGCACAAACAAACACACACACACACACACACACACACACAGCTGTTCTTTGAGCAACCGGCTGGAGATGCCTTTCGCTCGACGTTCAAGCTGCCTCGGTGACCAGCGCCAAGCGCGGAAAAGGACTCACCGGAAGGACGAGTTTGGCGACCGCCTTGGGTCTCGCTCTTCCAACAGAAAAGAGGAGTGCAGCCAAACACCGAGAACCCAGCGAAGTGCACACCTGTAGCTCTCCTGATTTCGTCTAGACTACAACTCCCATCATCCTTGGCAACGGCAGGCACCAAGAGGCGTTGACCCAGCAAAAGCCCTAGGGAACCGTGGGTCCGCTCAACCCCTATAGCTTAAGCCACTCAACCAGGTACCCTCCATCCATGGGGGTTTCTACATTTTATAGAAATCCACGGAAAAATTAATGAGTGTTTGGGGAAACGGCCCCAGGCCACCTTCGGGGGGAGGGGGTTGGAGATTCGGCTAGCCATCCATCCGGAAAGGAATTTCTCCGAGCTTCTGAAGGAAGCTGGTGTTTTCATTTCCCACTGGGCCCTTGCAAATGGGCCACCACTAGCCCTCCACCGGGCCGGCAGGCCGGCCGCCCTGGCTTAAGAACAGGAACGCCATAAGGAATCAGGTCAGAGGTTCAGCGCCTTGCAGGCACCGCCGGGAAGCCAACACGTAGGACACGGCCAACAATGGTCTCCGTCATGAGTTCCCCCCCCACACACACACACACTGTTGCTAATTCAGAGGTAGACTGCACCAGCACGCTGAAGTTCAACCCATGACGCTAACCATCGATAGGAGCATCCTCCGGGAATTTGTCTAGTTGTGTTTTTTTTTTAAAAGGGGGTCACTAAAAACCTCACCTCCCGTGACAGTCGGCCAAAAAAGGGCTAAAGACGCACATCAGACACACAGAAACCTCCAGACGGGTACCTGTGGCCAAGAAATAAAGAATCTTGTGGCACAAATCTTAACCCTTTTTAAACAAAAAAAAGTAGGTTTTGACACTCCAGCGCAGGCCACAACAACACTTCTGCCCCACAGAGCGTGGTCATTTCTAGGGTGCCCCAAGACGTGCGTTTCCTGTTGTGCAACAGACCCCTCCGGCTATTTTATTCCCCTGCTCCCTGAGCCCCCAAAATCTCGCCTTTAGCCCCTCCAGCCCGGAGCGTCCAGGCACAAGCACGCTAGGAGAGGAAGAAGACCCGGATCGATGCAAAGCTTGTACACCCAGGGTCATACCAGGGCTCTCCCTCACAGTTAGGTAAAAACCACAAAATAAAGTAATAAAAAAAAAGGC